TTTCTTGAAGCATCTTGGAGACGTTGCCACAGTTCTTCTGGATTTAGTCTGTCTCAGTTTGTTCTGTTTCTTCATGTCATTCCAGACAGACTGGATGATGATCAGCCCAGATCTCTGTGTGGAGCACTGGCTGCTGTCAGACTCCTTGTGCAAACAAAAATCTCACTGGATTATTATAATTAATGGCAAAATTAATGTTTGGAAATGTAAACTGATATTTCCACTGACACACTACAGCAAAAGATAGAAATAACTGACTTAAAACCATTTTTTGTAATATTTAATGTAATAGAAAAATAAATAAAGGAATAAATTATTTGATTAAACAAATACAATTCACTTGTAATAATTTTATCCTGAATTAATTTTTATTACATTTTTTCTTCAATGATTATTTTCTGTATTTATTTTTAACATTTATTTTTATTCTAACTTTTATTTATTATTTCATTTATTTTTATATTCAATTCAATTCATTAATTAATTTATTTATTTTTAAGTTTATTCATGCATTCATTCATTTTTTTATATATTTATTCATTCCCACATGTATTTATCTTATTTTTACTTTTTCGTGTGCAACATTGACATTTTTTAATGCACATTATTTTTTAATACACGATATACACTATGTTTTGTAGAACCCCATTTTACATAAAATAGATACAAATTCTCATGAGATCATGTTGCCTAACTTTAATACTCACCTTTAGCAAGGTATGTTCACAACATTATTTCAGATAAGTAGTAATGGAACGTTTGCTTCTTTTTCAGAAATCTATTATTACAATTACTTTCCAGGATAGATAATTAAATTAGCAGACACAACGTTACTTACCATAGAAGAACGTCTCAGGTTACTTATGTAACCATGGTTCCCCTTCAGGAACTCGAGTTGCGTCAAAGTCGCTTTGGGAACAAAAGAAAATGTCAAAGTCTAAGCAAAAGTCTATGGCGAGCGAACAGCATTACAAACGCTGTGTTCCTCCCTGCCCACGTTATCTGGCGGCGGGGGATACACACTATTTGTGTGTAGTTTGTTTGGGAGCGAAGCATGCACGGTCAGCTTTCGAGGAGCTGATTGTCATCACTGCGAGTTACTCTCGCTGCGTATGCTCCGCTCTCGCCTGGCTGTGTTTGATGAGAGCGGCCAGGCTCGCGATCCCGCTGGCAGCGGTCCCGCTGTTGCCGAGGCACGGCGTGGACTGTTGTCGTGGGGATCGCGGGTGGATTTAGCGGAGG